GGGGGGGGGGGGGGTTCTGAGAATACGAATCGTACAAGGCAAATTGCAGCGTGTAATGTACCGGTCATTGCTTATGGCGGAGGGTGGCAGCGAAGAGAAAAGAGAAAAGAGCAGAAAATTGCACAAGCAGTTATCAAACTCGTGTCACAGAAATGGTATTGAAAATGTGTGACAACTGAATGGTCACCAAGAAAAACATTTATCTTCGATGCCACCCCCTGCCATAAATAATGAGCGGTCCTGAAACGCACCTTCACGTGCTTTTTATTATACAATTCCAACTTTATTCTCGTTTGATCAACAATCTCCTGATAATTCTCAATATCCGGCAGCCGCCACGTTATTTCCGCTGCTGATATGTCAACATGTAATAGTCTTTTTCGGCCGAGGTTACGTCCAATAAGTTGGTATTAGTGGTTGGTCCAGTAAAAGATTATCGCACTCTGTAGAGCCCAAGCCTTTTTGAAGAGTTTTGATTTTAAATGACTTCAAAAACGTATGCATAATAAGTCAAATCTTTATATAAAAATCTTTACATAAAAATCTTTATATAAAAATGTTTATATAGTTTGCATAACAATGGTCTTTTGTTAAAGTGTTCTTTAGCTGGTATAAAGACGTATGCACGTGACTAATTTCTTACTCAAGATTGGATAATTGCTTCATGAATTATTAATGAGTTTTTGAATGGAACACAAAACATTTGGGCTTCAGACCTATCTGACCGGAAAATTTAGATAACATTAGAATGAGGTCTATTTTCGCTGGATATTTGAGAAATATAGAGCAAATCTTTCCATTGATACAGAGAAGAGAATTCGGGTCTGACCAGTCAGCCCATTAAATGGAAATCGCCCAATGTCACAGATGAAAACATTAAGAGGTTTTGCTTCCCCCCCTCCCTGCCAAATTTCTCCTCAGTGTTGAACAAATTACAAAATTTGTCTGGAAGAAGTCTGCATGGTGGACTCCCATCACCCCCCTCCCCTGCGTCACATTGGGGTGCAGTGCTACTTCGTGGGTTAAATGGAGATGAAAGTCACATGCTCTAACTACTGAGTACTGTACTGCTAACACCCTTCTTGTTTTCCACTTCCTTATTTTGATTCTCTCTATTTTTTGAAATAGTGGAACCCTACAAATTATGTGAGGCAATGAGAAAACTACGCGAAGACACAAATTGTGAAATTAGACAGTTTTCAAGTAAACTCAACTGTCTTTGTTTGAGAATTCGTCGAAAACATAAACAAGAGTTGTATACTTTAAACTTAATGAAAAAATCCTACCTGTCAGGACAAGGACACAGAAATTGGACAGAATTGACAGAAATTGACAAAAACAAGAGTGTTTCTTTATAGAATCGAATAAGGTGGGCGATACTACTTTTCGTAAAGTGGCAATAACCACAAATATCATTTTTGGTAAATATGTGGATCATTTTAATAAGAAATATAATAAATATATGTAGGTAAGGACCTAGGTCATTTTGATCAGCGTTTGACCATGGAAATGGCTGGATATAATGCCATTAGATGATTGCAAATTAGTTCGCTTGTGTTTTTTTGCTGTTAAACTTCAACTAATGGGTTGTTCCAGAAAAGATCCACACTCCTCCCATGGAGGAAATGTCGGCATGATAATAGTAAGTGTATTATGACATCCAATCAAAGGGGGTTGGATGTTTACTGTAACTTCGAATTTCCTCTGGGGAGGTATAAATGTTTTCTGGAATGACCCAATGACATCATGTCTTCTACAGTGAAAAGGTTGATCAAGACAAGGTTTTCTACTAATATAAAGATGCAACCTGAAGACACCAGTTAACCTAGAAATAACCCTATTTGGGTTAATTTAATATTCCTGCTGAAATTTATTGACCATTTTAACCTTTTTCTTACTATAATCTGGTTA